CAATTTGGCAATACACATCCAAATTACAGATTCTTTACTCTGATCCATTAACCTAGCTTCTGGGATTTATCTGACAGATCCAGTTACTCCTGAATGGCAGTGCCCAGGATTATTCGCTGCAATAGTGCTGTTTGTGTCAGCAAAGAATTAAGCATGAGCCATGCCCACAGCAGAAGGCATTTAAGCGCCCTGTGATGTGTGCCTGTAACGGAACCCTTCTAAGAAATCAACAAGGGAGCTTTCTGTGTGTTTATCAGAAAGACTTCCAGGATTATTTTTACTGGGTGAGCAATACTACTGCTATCTTTGTGTAAGAAAAAAAGGGGTATTGACGCATGGTTACTCACACCCTTCAGCACTCTGTAGGATTAAATTAAGTTTCGTTTCCCACAATATCTTTCATACAAAGACACTCTATAATATTACATGTAGCAGCAAAACGCTAGAAGCATTTTAAATGTCCTATAATAATTGCAGGTAAGGAGAATTATGATAAAGCATACACATTCTCTAGCTTGTACAAATGCCATTTATAGTGAGCTTGAGGTAGCATGAAAATATTTTAGCAAGCGCTTAAGCCAAAAAGCTAATAAAAAGATGTTTACACAATATGAATTCAATATGTGATATGGGTATTAAAAAGAAATCATAGGTTTAGGGCTTCCCTGGTGGCGTAGGGGTTAATGTCTCAGCGTTATTAAGCTATCAGTTGCCACTGCAACACCGTTTGAACCGCGGCCTGGGGGGTGACCCACAGGGCACAGCAGACCTCTCCTGACCCACCAACTATTCCCTAAGCAGTGTGTTTCAGTACATCTGCCTGTTCTGTTCCCCACTGTCTCTGATGAGTCTCTCATCCCCTCCATTCCACACCTCTGCCCTGAACCCCAGTTCTTCCTTTTTTTTTTTTTTTTTGAGATTTATTTATTTATTTATGCTTACAGAACTGGGGTACAAGCCAGAGGTGTGGTGGGTGAGAGGATTCACCGGAGACAGAGTGGGGAACAGGAACAGGCAGATGGACAAAGTACACTGCTGAGGGGAGCAGTGGGCGTGTCAGAAGAGGTCTGCCACGCCATGTGGGTCACCTCCGTGGCCAGGCATTGAATTCGTGCTGCAGTGGCTTCAGAGAGCTTCATAATGTGGTGCTTTAACCCATTGCACCATCAGGGAGAGCCCAAACCCCAGTACTTGTATGCATAAATAAATAAATAAATACCCTGGGGGGGGGTGACAAGAAATCATAGATATTGAGCATTACTCAATAACGCTCAATGTGTGTCTCGAGAGGAGGGCTATTTTCAGTGCTAATGAGTGGGACGCAGTCAGGCCGCCTTCCTGACAACTCTTAGTGAGTAAAATGGTACCATGAGCAGGAGAAAGAGAAATAGGTTTGGAGAGAGGTTTCTTCACAAACAGCAGAAATGTCTGTTAGGGCAGGTAAAGGTGGGTGACTTATGGTGAGCAACCAGCTGGAACCATAAAGACTCAGACCTTCTGGACCTGAGACAGCAGTAGAAGAGATGGACGCATGAAATAAAGGCACAGACAAAGCAGGCAGGCTGGCTGAAAAGCTGCCCCAACAGGACAACACCATGGCCCCCAGTAACATCAGCTACTCTAGCTCTGTCTGAAGAGCTAAAAAATACAGCCACTCCACCCTATCAAGCCCCCCAGGGGATGCCTGAGGTTGTGCTGAACAGGCAGATTCTATTGAGTGCTACATAACTGTGCTTTTCCAGTATCTTACATATACCTATGATAAAGTTCAACTTATAAATTAGGTGTGTAACAAGAGATGAAAAACAATACTAATAATAAAGGAACAATGATAACAATGGATTAAAAGTTATGTGAATGAGATCTCTCTTTGAAAACATCTCATTATATGTAACATTTCGGGCTGCAGTGGACCCTGGGTGACTGACACCGCAGAAGGCAAACCAGGCTGGGGAGGCGGGCTGCAGGGCAGGGCTGCCCGAGCGGGGCTCCAGGGCTCCACACGCAGCTTGATCTGGAGCTCCTTATGCCCGAGGGCTGGGCATGAACTTGAGTCAGCAAAATTAAAAGATACAAAGATTACAACTGGTTTACAAGAAGAATCCGATTTACAAGAAAGCATGTGATCAGTCGGGATGAGGCAGAAGGAAGGGAGAGGTACTATCTCTCTCTCTTTTTTTTTATGATTGATTTATGTATGCATACAGAACTGGGGTACAGGTCAGAGGTGCAGAGTGCAGGGGCAGTGAGAAGATTCACCAGAGACAGAGTGGGGAGCAGAGCAGGATGACTGACGAAGCACACTGCTGAGGAGAGCAGCAGGCGAGACAGGAGAGGTCTGTTGCGCCATGTGGGTCAGCCTGGCCGGGATTGAACTCGTGGCTGAAGAGGCTGTGGCCAGCTTCACGGTGCTGTGCTTTAACCCTCTGTGCCGCCAGGGAGGGTCTGGGAGAGGTACTTTTAAACCCTACCAAAATTCTATGATAGATGACCTCATGGGCTAACTAAGAATGATTAAGACATCATACGATAAAGAGGAAATAGGCTAAGTCTGAAGGTCTGAACCTAAAATTCCAGCTCTTAAAAGTCCAGCTTAAGGCCCTCCCTGGTGGCGCAGCAGGTTAAAGCACTGCACTAACAAGCTTAAGCCACTTCAGCATGAGTTCGATCCCCGCCTGCCCCGGAGGTGACCACATGGCGAGGCAGACCTCTTCTGACCCGCCCGCTGCTCCCCTCAGCAGTGTACTTTGTCCATCTGCCTGTTCTGCTCCTCACTCTGTTTCTGGTGAATCCTCTTACCCTCCGCTTCTCTGGCCTGTACCCCAGTTCTGTATGAATAAATAAACAAATCTTTAAAAAAAAAAAAAAGTCCAGCTTAAAAGTCAAAAGAGGATAATTTACTTAAACACAGATTCATTCATATATTTATTATTCAGTAATTTGATCCAGAGTAAGGCACAGAGCTAAATGTTGAGGAGAGAGCAGGATAGCAGATCACAGTGGAACACAGAAAGGTATTAAGTCCTAATGACAGAGTATGTGGTACTAGCTGAATAAAGGCCAGATGCTTCTGCTCTTATCTAGAAGGCCCTGGAAGGCTTCCTGGGTTAAGACAGACCTGGGAAGCTCAGGCTTGAGTCTGAATCCTGAATAGATGACGGAGCACTGACAAGCGGGAGTGACAAGTGTATCTCAGACAGGAGTAACATGGTTTGGAGAGTGGGAGCAATTATTAACAAAATGAGACTGCACCTGCATAGCCAAGTCTTTAAAGGAGCATAGTACTAAGGGCAGGGAAAACGGGAGAGTCATCAGAAGGGACGGAGGGTGTTTGTTAAGCACCTACTATGTGGCAGGCACCATTCCAGGCACCTGGGATGTATCAGGAAATACAGTGAACAAAGTTCCTGCTCTGATGGAGTCTAACGCTGAGTGACAGAAAACAGACATCAAACATCACAGAAAGACACAGTCCATTAGCACATAGCAGATGCTGTGAGTGGGGTAGATTAGGATTACAGGCAGGTGAGGGCTGTTTAAAATGGGTTAGTCAGAATTGCCGCAGAATGGAGAGACTGGACAGACATGGGAGAGACGAGGGCGTGAGCCTGGCGAATATTAAGAGAAAGCACATTCCAGGCAGAGGAGGGTCAGGATAAAAGCCCTAAGAGGACTGTGCCTGGTACACTCCAGTCCAACCAGGAAGCTGGTGTGGGCGAGCAGTTGGCACCAGCAGACACGGGATCTCGAAGGCCACACAAGAATTTCACAGGGCTGCTCCTCCACTTCCAGGCTCCCAAATACACCAGGCCAAGAGGAGCAAGAGGAAAGCAGGAGGGAAAGAGAAGAGCCTCACCAGGGTGTGGACAGCGTCAGGTCAGTGTCCTCAGAAGGCAGTGAGAGCAGTGGAACACGGGTCCCTGGAGGAGGAAGGGCTGGACCTTTGAGGAGCACAGCCCTGCTCATCTGTTGGCGCCTCAGCCTTAGCGACGTGGCCTAGCGACGTGGCCCACAGTGGGAGACTTACCCTGAGGCAAATGGCAAAGGCCATCCAGCTGCGCATTTCCATTAGCGGCAGGCAAAACGAGCCCCCCTCAAAGGCAAGAGAGCAAGGAGAGCCTGGCTGTACCCGCAGACCTAGACTGCAGTTAGAGGAGGGCCGTGCCGAGGGCCTCTTCGCTGTCACCAACAAGAAAGCTAAATCAGTGGCCCGCCAAGGGCTGAAGTAACTCTGCAGGTGTGAACCTGGCCGGATAACAAAAAAGAGACTGTATGCAAATGTGAAGGGAGTTCAAATAGGCCACAGAGACTAAGTTTGCATCCATTTCTCTTTTCTCCAATTTTTGTGTGGAGCCAACTGGAGAAAGATAAGCCACCCGGGAAGAGTTTGAAGAAACATGTGGACTTATCTTGGAAGGAAAAGGTTGCTGAAAGGTAAGAGAGTTCAAAAATGGGGGCTTGTGTCCTCTGGGGTCAAAAATGGGGAGGCAGTAGAGGGAAACCAGCGAGTAATAGTTGAAGTAGAAGATTAAGTGACATTAAATGATATGCCAAAAGCTATTATGATGACTCAGAATGCAGTCACTGAAATTTGGTTTTCATAAAAGATAACTTTCTGGGTTAAAAGTATTTTCCTTTTTTTTCCTAGACAAAACAGCTCTGAGGGTATTTTCCAGGATGCTATCTACTCGAGCTGCCGGCTGGGGGGGCGTGCTGCGTGCGCCCGCGTGGGGACTCCTGTGGCTTGGCAATCAGCTCTGAGCAGCTTTCTCTTCCCTTGGGCTAAGTGCAAGCTTGGAAAGGGCTTCAGTTTTTGAAAGGAGAGGGAATCTTTTCAAGTTTGTATCTGAGGGCACTTAAGACATTGGGTTTAACTTTATGAGATGGTCACATTTTTTATAAAATAAAAGAGCAAGCTCTCACAAGGTTAAATTCCAGGAAAACCATCTTGGATGCAAGACAAAGGCGGGGTATAAAAGGAAAACAAAAGCCGGAGTTAGGTCATTTGATTTACTCTCTGCACTCAAGACTGACTCCTCTGCCCACTGAAACAGGTTGGTTTTTTTCTTTTTCTCTCATTCTGACATGGAAAATTTTTTTTTTAACCCCAAAGACTTTGTATAGTTATCTAAATACATAGAGACTTGGTGCGTAGACGGCTGAATGTTTACGTGTCAAAAGACTATTTGCAAATACTGGTTAAAGTTAGCTTTAAAAATTCTGAAAATAACATGATGAAATACTATTTTAATACCATTACTTGCCTGTAACATTTTGCTAATGAGAAAATAGGTTTTGGTCTACCATTATTTTTGCTTTGAATTACAAGCACTAACTTTTTTTTTTTTTAATCTTATAATGCTTATAAAAGTGTTTATATGTATCTGCCAGGAGGGTCATTTCAGCAAATAATTTCTAGACCTACTCTGTTTACTTCTATTTTTATTACAGTGGATCTTACTTAAAAACACCCTACCTTAATATATAATTTGGCCACATGAACACCTTGCCATCAGGTTACAGAGATGTATGATAAAGGAGAAGAAAGAACAAAGTACATTTGTGTTAATTATTAACACACGGGACAGTGAAGACCAGAGTGGGCTTCCAGACGGGCACTTTTCAGTTAACCTGGAGCATAAAATTGTCATTGAAAATTGCCGGCATCTGGTCTTTACCCAGTGACACAGGTCTCCTCCGTTCCAGCTCCCTTTCTATGGACTATCTTTCTCTCTGCACCCACCTGACCAGAGTTACAGGCATAAGAACCGTAAGAGGGCACATTTTCAAAATGATGCGTTTCTTAATGATTGGAAAAGAATAGCTAGATTCTTCCAAGGACAGTAATAACCAGAGGGAAACAGAAAGGCTAAAAAACAAACATTTAAACCCGGCACTAATAATGACACCGGGCATCATGATGATATACATTTTAAAATTTGTGAATCCTGTGCAAATTTATCCCACTATTCATTAAATTTATTACTCCTATTCATATTTAGTAAGTAGCAGAGTAACTTAAAGGTGAGACAGGAGATTCCTGGCAGGAAAGTCCATTTTAGAGGAACAGCTTTAAACCAGCTGGCAAACCAAATCAAATCTTTGGCAAGTATTTACTGAGCACCTAGTGTGTGCCAGACACTTTATAGGTATCTGTTATGAACTCAGATCTTTTAAAGAGGGGCTACTCTTAGGGAACTTAGGAATGGTAGCATGGACACATGTCTCTCCACAGTAGGGAGTTACTGCTGGAGACGGCTGGATCAGGGGAGTGTCTGGGGAGACAGCATCCCAGCAGATGGAGCAGGAACTGGCCCTGGAAGCCAACGGCAGGAAACAGTGTGTCACGGCACAGCACGATGATGAATGCGTAAACATGTGCCGTGGCATGCCCTGTGCCAGAAAGCGCTGACGGATCAGTGCGTGATATGTGAGCGGTAGTGGGAAGCTGTGGGCTCGTGGGAAGGAGCTGAGTGGTGGCCTTTCAGGCGAAGAGTGGAGCAGGAGAGACAGCCGGACATCTGAGAGACACAGCACTCAGGGGCTGTCAGAAAAATGTGGTTGTCAAGGAGGTGGCCAGGGGGAGTGAGAACTGTAGGGTGCAGTTAGGAAGGGTCCAGAGAGGCCAAGTCAGAAACACAGATGGGCAGACTGTGAGGGTGCGCCAAGGGGTGCAGGTTAAAAGGAGGGACACTGCGACCTGTTTGGAAGATGAAATCAACATTTCCGACTGACTGGAAACCAGGGACATCTGAGAGATGTCACGGGTCAGGGAGCTAAAGCCTTCCTGATTGGGGAAGTGCTACCAAATAGTGCAGGGGAAGCTGAGAGTGACCAATCTTGGGGGTACAGGGTGGCAGGGACGGGGGTGCTAAGTAAAGAAGACTTAAGTGGTTTTATAAACACCAACTAGTGAAATTAAGTATAAGAGCTGAGATGACTTATTTAACTTCAAAATTTATTAATTTAAATTTATGTTAATAAAAATTAAAATTTTAAATTAAAAATTTTAATTTAAATTAAATTGTAATTTATAAAATTTATTAGTTTAAAATAAATGTCTAAATAGCTTATAATTGCTGTTTTTATTTACTTGATTGTCCACATCACATAAGAACCATAGGGCTTTCTTTATATGTAAGAATTATGACATTTTTGATACCTTTTAGTTCAAGTCTAACTTTTCCGATTTTAAAAACTATTTCTGTGCAACATTGATTGCTTCTCTTTAGGGTTTAATAGTTATGCAAATCCCCTGAGGCATTAATTTTTCTCTTCCCCGTGTAAGTCCCAGCTCTCGCAGACTTAAAAGCAAACCAAAACACACAAAAAAGGAAAAATGTCTCAAAGGGGCGGGTTCGGTCTTGCTCACCTGCAGCCACCCTGTATTTGCCAATAAAAGAACAAGGGAGACGCGCCCAGGGAGGCATTTCCCTCTGAGCCCCACCAAAGTGAATGCTCTGTGCCCGTTCGTTCTGCCGTAGGTGGGAGCCATGGCTTTGGGACACAACCTGTCGGCAGACTACTACTACAACTATGAGAACATCACCGAGGACTACATGGACGACTACAGCCAGTACGCAATGGTCTGCGTGAAGGAGGAAGTCAGGAACTTCGCCAAAGTCTTCCTGCCTGCCTTCTACTCCATAGCGTTCGTCGTCGGACTCGCGGGAAACTCCGTCGTCGTGGCCATCTACGCCTTTTACAAGAAACAGAAAACCAAAACCGACGTGTACATACTGAACCTGGCGGTGGCCGACCTGCTCCTCCTGTTCACGCTGCCGCTCTGGGCAGTGAACGCAGCTCACGGCTGGGTGCTAGGGAAAGTCATGTGCAAGGTCACTTCGGCCCTGTACACCATCAACTTCGTCTCTGGGATGCAGTTTCTGGCTTGCATCAGCGTCGACAGGTACTGGGCGGTCACCGGGGCCCAGAGCGCGGCGGGCGCCGGCAGGCGCTGCGGGCTCGCGTGCACCTGCGTGTGGGCGGCCGCCGTCCTGCTGAGCGTCCCGCAGCTCGTGTTCTACACCGTGAACCACAAGGCTCGGTGCATCCCCATCTTCCCACACTACCTGGGCACAGCCATCAAGGCGTCCATTCAGCTGCTGGAAATCTGCCTCGGATTCGTCGTGCCCTTCCTGATCATGGGGGTGTGCTACTCTCTCACCGCCAGGACCCTCGTCAGGACGCCCAACATCAAAAAAGCGCGGCCCCTCAAGGTTCTGCTCGCAGTGGTCATGGTTTTCATCATCACGCAGCTGCCCTACAACATTGTCAAGTTCTGCCAGGCCATCGACATCATCTACGCCCTGATCACCGACTGCGAGCAGAGCAAGCGCATGGGCTTCGCCATCCAGGTCACCGAGAGCATCGCCCTGTTCCACAGCTGCCTCAACCCCGTCCTGTATGTTTTCATGGGAGCCTCGTTTAAAAACTACATCATGAAAGTGGCCAAGAAATACGGGTCCTGGAGAAGACAGAGGCAGAAGGTGGAGGAGATTCCTTTCGATTCTGAAGCTCCTACAGAACCCACCAGTACTTTTAGCATTTAAAGGTCAGATCGCCCCCAGAGCTGCGCTGTTCTGAAACTCAAATCTCAAACAGCGGCTCTGGGGCTCTTAGCCAAGAAGGAACGGGGGTGGGAGTGGGGGGCGAGCAGGGGGACAGCCCCGAAGAGGCAATAAGAGAAAAAAGGCACAAAACCTGAGCACTTTCGGAAAACAGGACTAGAGCCGGCACAAATAAAGGAAAACACTCAGCTCTAAGGTAGGGAGGGCATTTAAGACAGCAACACAGAGGCTTACACCAAGGAATGCTTTGGATTGTTTTGAATTAACTAAATTTGAACATAAGAATGATTTCCCTGTATAATACTGGATCAACTATGCAGCAAAATTTCATCTACATCTCCCCCAATTTCTAACCTGTAAGTGATTTCATAAGACCTTTCCAGAAAGAACAAATAATTAACAACAACAAAAATACATAAAAAGCTTTTCTGGCCCTTTTAATATATTCCAGATAACTTTCCAAATACAAAATCTGCTGCCAGGGTGTCAAGTTATTTCTGTAACTGGTTATCCTGACAAATGTTAGATTTATTATGAATATTCTAGAAATAATCTCCAGATAATTATATTTACCCAGGCTCCAACGTTTCCATGTAGGCTTCAATCATGCAAATCTATTACTGAGAGTTGGTCAAACAATATATTTCCCTGTGCATTAAGCTTTTCACTTAAATTTTATAGTTTCAAGCGATGAAAAAATGTAGCAATGAATTGTTCCTAACGTACATGGAAGCTTATATTTTAATAGAATTATATATAAGTTATTATAAACCATGTAGTATGCCCCATTCAACTTAGTTTTGATAGAAATTGCAATGTCAAATAGTAGCTTGCACTAATATGAATTTGATACTTCCCAGACTATAACAAGGAAGAGGAATGTATTTGCTTTTAAAATAAACATCACTTAATGAAGACAGGTTGTTCTAAAATTTCCTTTTATCGGCTATTTCTGACCTTGAAAGTGCCTTCATAGGCAGCACTGAAAGAGTTGAGCGCTGTATAGTTCTAGGGACGTATCTGAACACTCACCAGAGCTCCACCATTTCTTGCCATTAATTACATAGCTGTCTCCGTCGCGTTGGATGCTACACTGAATATTTGTGGCGTCACTCGAAGCTACATCAGGCTCTACAAGTAAGCAAAGACTGAATTTACAGGCAGGCAGTTACCATTGGTTTACACGACCCTTAAAGGAGCATGAACTCTGAGGACAGAAATATCCTTTTCTTTGTCATCTTCCTACCCTCCCCCATTTCCAGTATGGCTTCACCATAAACTTCACATAAAAATTTTACAATGTGCTTTGGAAAAGTGAGCAAAGTGTTTAGGACACTGGGGTGCAGCAATCTGTTACTGTGTTCTTTGCATTCTCTTTGATACATGACTTGGGATACTGCTCAATCAAGCCTTTCTCCAGGCATCAAAAGTACATTTAAAAGGTTTTTCTTTACTTCCCACAAAGGAAACCTCTACTAATATTTAAAAGCCAGATTGCCCAATGTATAGTTTTACAATTTTAAACAATTTCTAACTATGCCTTACAACTCCCATCAGGAATACCCTCACGGGTTATGTATCCTGTATTCTCTAAGGCTTAGCCAACACTTAAGAGACTTCAAAAAACTTGCCATGGGACACTTTACTGCATGGCATTTCAGACTTGCAGGGTAGCTTTCATCACAGTAACCTGCACTTGTTAAAATGCTGCTCTTTCAACATGCTGTGTTCCATTTCCGAAACAAGAGATTCTGTCCCTTCAGAAAGGAGCCTGAGCTGTCTGTTCTGAAGGTCCCAGCACGTGCTTTGCAGACAACATGTCCTCAGGAGGGCAGAGGCTCAGAAGCGGCCTCTAATGATTTCAGTGGAGACCCATTTTGCTACTAGAGAAGATAATAAAGCCAGGCCAAAACGAAGGCCAGATGGGAATTTCGTGTAGTTCTAAACTCAATTATAAAATGAGGACTTCATCCTCTGAAGCATTCTTAATTGTGGTTTCTTATGTACAAATGGTACCAAACACATTTTTTATTAACTTGTTCCGAGTTTTATTTTCCCACATGATTATAATTGAGCTATATGTATATACCCAGCATTGAAAGTTCGGGGCTCTGGCGGAGTTGAATATGTTGTAAATTTTTACTATTTTTACTATCCATGTAAAAATGGTCACAGAGATGACTACTTCCTACCTAAGGTCAGCAAAGATCTTAAGTATCCAGAGATGGACAGCCTGCAGTAGGGGCAATTTGGGAAATGCCAGTCAAGAAACCATGAAGTGAGGTCTCCTGGACTGCTAATGCCTAGGTTAGGCTATTGGGAAACATCCTCTGTTGTCTTCCCAGAGGGAAGAACAACTCATCCTGCACACCCAAAAATACATCATTTAAAATGAGGTGAAAAGCCAGCACTTATGTGTCTGGCCATGGGCAATCTGCCTCACACACACGGCCATGTCCCACATCTCTTCAGCTCATCCGCACTGTCGCTGAGGTGCCGGGGTGCCTGACCACACGGGGAAGGATGGGGATCTGCCTTTACCTGTCATGCAGAAGGAGGAGGCAATGGTCCCTTGGAGAAGAGGCTCGAGCCACCGCTGCTTCTGCTCGTTGCTCCCATACAGATGGAGCACCTCCATGTTCCCTGTGTCTGTGCATGGGAGGACAGCATTTGTGCTTTCAGATTTACTAGTATGAAACTCCAACTTCACCTCGCTAGATCATCTAGACATGCCTCTTTAAAGCAAATGTTTGCTAACAAAAGGATTTCAAACATAACAGGAGAGCGATTTGCGTCTACAGCGTGGGGAGTGCATGTCCCACTGTTCTGAACCAAACCCTCACGAAGCAGAGCTCTCATGAGGTGTAGCTCAAGTAGAACCGAGGAGACTGTTTCCTGGCCAATGCTTAGCCTGCTGACTTTTAAATGCGCCCTGCTAAGAGGGACCACAGTGCTCCCAAAGGACAGTTACCCTGACATGTCCTCCTGAGGCCCCAGCCTTGAAGTCTACCTGTGTTCTTCACACACCTTGTTACAAATCATGACTTTGTGTAGAAACCTTCCTTGTCATTAAAAAAGACAAACTAAATACCCAAAAGATCAGAGAAAGTTCTGTTTTTAAATACTGGAGTCACCTGGTGCTTGGCAGTTAAAGACATCTGGAGCAAAAAAACACTTCCCCGTTTCTTCAGCAATCAAGGCATAGTCCACCTGGCTGAGACCACTGAGTGCTGGCAAAAACAAGTTCCAGAGGCCCTCTGCTTTGGCCATTTCCTGTCAAGGTGAGGAATATGCCAGAGATAATTAATTCACCATGGCCCACAAATCATTTATTTTAAAAAGATATTGGTATTTATGCTTTTTGAAATTTAAAACCACTTAAGAGGCTACTTATCTTATTGTCTGCAACAGTGTGCAAAACCACCTAGTTATTAGTTCATTATAACTGTTAATGAAATGTCTTTTCCTCTGAGCATCCTTAACAGTTTGCTTCAGAGTTAAACTGGCTAACTATAGCATTTCTTCCTGAATCACAGCTAGTATGAAATGCCACACTGGAGTATAATTATGCCAAATACACTACTTTGTGTACGTTGGCTACTCACATGTGTTATTGTTAAGATCTGAAAATGTGAATGTGTGTTAAGTCAAGAGGGACACATACCCGCCTTCCCCCAGTCTCAACTTGGTGCCAGTTGGTGGTGGACAGAGCTGGTCACAGATTTTTTTTTTTGCTCTGGCTACTGTCTTCATCACATGCCACATATAAGACTATTTAAACTCATTTGTACATTAGAAATTCTGTTTTTAACTTTCATTTAGAAGAGTCACTGTTGATATAATCATCCTATCTATACCAACAATGACATCAAACTAAGGGCTCAAAACACACCTGCATATACATTTTTTAATGTTCAAGATTTTCTCTCTTTAAAACTGAATTTTTATTTTTCTTAAGATTTTAAATTTATTTTTGCACACAGAATTGGGGTACAGGCCAGAAGTGCAGGGGTGGTGAGAGCATTCACCAGAGACAGAGTGGGGAGCAGAACAGGCAGATTGACCAAGGACACTGCTGAGGGGAGACACAAGGGAGACTGGAGAGGTCTGCTGCTGGGCCCTGTGGGTCACCTCCAGGGCGGGGATCAAACTTGCACCGAAGCAGCCCACAGCCAGCTTCACAGTGCAGTGCTCCAGCCTGCTGCGCCACTAGGGAGGGCCCTCAATTTTTTCTTACCTTGAGTTTCTCAATCACAATAGGTTGTCTCCACTTGTCCACTGAATTGTCATTGTGAATGTAGTACTCAATTACCTCCTAAAGTAACGAAAGGGAAACATTTGTTAACTAAAGTTAATGCAGCGTAAATCATGCCACAACGCAGGTGCTAAGATCCAAAATGAGCATATGTAGGTAAATAAGCTACTTTAACTGCTATTTAACCATAATATTTTTTTCTAAACCAGCCACAGAAGCATAAAAACTCTCACTCCTTCCCTCCGTGTGCTTGCCACTCCCTCGCCATGTCTGCTGGTAAGATGCTCAGGATCAAGAGATGCCCAGACAAGAAACAAAGCCAGGATGATCCATTCCCCAGTGGATTCAGACGAAAACTGGTAAAAAAAATCGGGTCTAGTTCCAACAGGGGGTACTGGAGAAGAACCACTCAGGTCTGCAGGACCGCGCATGAGATGAGTGCACGTGAGCGCTGTGCCAAGGTCAGCGGCTCCCCCTCACCACACTGAGAACATGGCTGCTTTGTGGATGAGCTTCCTCTGGGCATGCTGTGGTCCCCGGCTCAGTAATAAACAGGCGAGTTCTGTGGGGGAGCAGGGAGCAGTATAAAATGTTCTAGGAGGTTGATGCCCACAAAATTATGCGGCCTCCGCATTAGCGCACAGCCTTCTGAAGTCTAATGCCAAGGCTGAGGGCTGCATTTAGTAACGTGGCACACTCGATGTGGTCACAGGAACCCTCCCAGGGTGAACAAATAACAACCCCAGGTACCCTGTGAAGGATGATTCCAGAAATACATTTAGTGACGCCCAGCTGTGACAGAGGAAACTGCTCGGATCCAGGAAATAAAAGCCTGCCTGGCAGTTCAGAGTGAGGAAGCAGTTGAGTCGAACTTGCCCAGGGAGGCAGGCTGAGCCGTGTTAGCCTGGCCCTGGTTTTTAGTGAGCCACATAGACCAGCGTCAGGAAAAAAAGCTGAATACTCCAAAAAGGGTGAGAAGGAGGATCAGAAGTCACCTCTTCCCTCCATCCAAGTCAGGATGCTTGGTGGGCAAAATCTAAGTGGCAAAGAACAAACACCAAAAATGCCATCACCGCCCACCCCCCCCCCGCCTCCCATGCCATATGGGGATGCAGGCCTCTAGAGGGTGAACAGGAATATACAATTCTAATCTGAAGCCTGTCTTCACCCACATTTGGGATCTGATTTTGCAGATCTGTGGGGCCCTAAATGTTCAAGCCAAAAGTAGGTCCCAGTGCTCCCAGTGACAGCGCCTGTGAGCACCTGGGTGAACTCAAAGCGAGTCCTCTTTGGAGGGAAGAACTTTGAAGAAAAGCGTCGAATGACCCTAGCCGATGACATTTATTCCAAGAAAGTGCTCAAGGAAGAAAGTCACTATTAGTGGAAATTAACAAAAACAGTAGTTCAACAAAAAGAATAACGATCATATATAGAATATTTAAAATTGTACAAATTTCAAGAATCAGGAAGAAATGAAAAGATGACCAATGATTATCAAAATTAGCCTAGCAAGTCTGAAACAGGACTCGATGCAATTCAAGGAAGATAAAAACCACAGTAATTGACTTAAAAACTCATCGGCATGGGTATCACATTTTGGTGGGTACCAGGTCCCTGGGGAGCATGGCAAGACACAGAGCTCAGGCTCTGTCCTATTTCAGAGAGCCCGGAGCTTCAATGTTCTTTATTCACCCCTCAGCAAATTTGCCACACTCTCAATTTTGAGGACCACGGTCTATGGATGATTGAAAAAATGAATAGTTGAAAAAAAATAAATTGAGAGAAAGATCTAAAGAATAACTCAGGATGAAGCCAGAAAGTCAATGGATGGAAAAAAAGAGTTTCAGGGAAATGATGAATACAGAGCTGTTCTCACGTTAGGTCTAATTGGAGTCCCAGATGAAAAGAATGAGGAGAGAGGGAATGCTGGAAGAAAACAGAGCTGAGAAGTTTCCAGAATTTGTGGCAAGAAGCCAATCTTCAGATTCAGAAAACACAATGAAGCCAGAGCATAGTCAGGCTGGGGGATGTCAAAGAGAAAGGGAAGCTCTTAAGAAGAGAAGATGGAGGCAAAGGTCAGGTCACAGATAATTAAAAGCTAAGATTGAGAGTTGGCATCTCACTGCAGCAAAGGCGAGCAGAAATCAGTAACCCTGTACTAAAAAGTTAAAGTAAGGAGAAAAAAGGAGAGGGGGGAGGTGGAGAGAAGAAAAGACAAAAATTTACTAGAAGCGTCTCAGTAAACAAACTTGATCATTGGAGAAACATCTGAGTTGCAAAATGGAATAGTAAATAAATAAAATGATTAAAACATGGGAAAATCTAAACTAAAAAGTAGTCACGTAAGATAACAATACGCTCTAATTGTATAACTCAAAGAATCAAGAACTGAAAGTCTGGACTATAGTGACATACTCCAATATTTTGCTATGATAGTATCTCTGTGCCTATTTCTCCCTCACATTTAGATCAACAGAATTACTGGATTAAGGTCTTTGAAAACCGTCAAAGCTCCATATTACAAAAGCATCTACTTCAATTACAAAAGTCATTCCAACAGTTTACAGTCACATAAATAAATGATTTACTAAAATGTTCCTTAGATTGTAGCATGGCTGGTCTAGAGTACTGACTGCTGCATGTCATGAAAATTTCAAGGAGGCAAAGAACTAGCATTTCAAAAGCACCAGGATGAACAATATTTGTCATTTCTGCCAGGGAATCAGTTAAGGGAAGATTTCCTGTTTACAGTTATTTATTATTTCCATAGAAATCTGAGAGTGTCAATTCAGAGTCTGAAATCTGAGGCTTCAAATAATATTGCATTATATTCTTCATTGTAAACTTAAGTCTGCTAGAAAGAAATCTCTTCCAGTAGGAACGGATGACCAAAACTTCTCGTGTTAAAGGTGTCCTCAAAAATATGTCATGTTCCTGTTTTATATTTTGGGTAGGTTCCTCCTCCATTTTAAATAGCAAGAGTTGCCTTTTGACATTCATGATAAAGGTTTCTGTGTCCACTTTATGAACACCATCTTAAACCAAAAGAATTGCACTTTCTTTTTCATACTAAAAAGTTCAGAATTATACACACACATACACACACACAGAGTAACAAGAGAAGGTCTCCAAAGTGATACCTTAATCACTACACACATGACTATTTTGGAAAATAATTCCTTATGTCTAGTGTTTGCTATTAAAAAAAGAAAAAGAAAACTCATGTCCCTGGTGGCCTCCTTCCGTATTTTCATAACCGCTTGTATCTTTTCTTCACAGCAAGTAATGCTCCTTTCATGTTAAGATACAAGCTCTCTGGGGCATAGGGCCTGTCTGTCTGGTTCTTCTTTTCCTTTTCAGTGGTTCCCCAGGGGCCTACCCCATTCTTTGGGTAACTGATAATTATTTGTTTATTGAATGAATGAATGACTATACCATGTTACCCCCCACAAACACAGTGAAGTTATTGACACTTGACACCCTAAAATAACAGCATGTGGGAAGGGTGCTAGAATCTGTGAGCCACTTGATTTGATATGCAAATTTTCTGGCTATTTTCAGAGCTGTAGTCCACAGGTCTGACCACATTCTCAAAGGGGTCCATAAAAATAGCTGAAAGCCTGCCTCAGGACAGGCATAGTTAGGATCCCAACTTGACTCACAGCTAACTCCTGTTGGCTTATTTTACTTCCACAGCGGTGTCTGTGCCACCCCCTGGCAGGATTTAGAAGCTCATGCTTTTTCAGGGCCAGGTTCTATAGCTGCTTAGGCTACGGTGAGACACAGGGCCAGGTGAGGCTGGACGCAGCAACGCGGTGGCACAACACCCTGACACACAGAGAACACGAGCAATCCTCGACATCCTGGAGCGCAGCTGTGTTCTATTTGCTTCCACCGTACCTACCTTCTCAGCTGGAAGGATGTGTTGCTTCATGAAATGCTTGACCCTCAGAAGCACTTCCTGGCCGCTCCTTGTCTGTGCGAACAACTGCCGGGTCACGTCACCCTGTGGTAGAGTTGTACTGAAGGTTCTTGATCAAAGGAAAAAAACAAGTCAAAAGATGTTCAAGATCATCACTATACATTTCCCGCAGCTCCTCAAAAATATCCCCCAGAAAGAGTGTTCATAATTTGGGATTTTTATAGGGACTGGATTTTGGGATTTTCATAATATGGGATTTTTATCTTTTATAGGATGGGGTGAATGCAAAATCATTTATTTTGAATATTAAACTTGGATGCTTTAAACACTATTTGGGAAAAACATAAAAGTGGTAAAGATCTCAGCTGACGGCAGTTTTGAATCTATATTGAAGCCGCCTGTCAGAATCCCTCAAGACAGAAGCAAAGAAGTTGAAAACAAATGCAGTCACTATTCTGAGGGTAGGCCCCTCGAATCCATCTGCTGGATGTCATCCTAAACAAGAGCTTTAAAAGTCGTTATGAAGAGCAGCACAGTCCGTGGGTGTGCTGCGGAGATCACAAGTATCCGTCTGTGAGGTGAGTCACAGCACAGCTGCCCTTCCATGTGTATGGGTCCCTGAGGCCACGGCAGAATTTCCAGGGACAGCATCACCCACACATTTGGCAAGCGCAAGAGCTGCCCCTCTAGGTGGGAATGTGCTTGGCAGAGTCTAGCAGAGGACTCGAAGGCGCTGTGCTCCACTCATGGAGGGAGACACGGATCGATGAAATGTCATGACGTGTGGCAGTGGGGGAGGGAAGGTTCCTACATTTAACCACCATCTTATGTCATATGTAATCTGAGGTATTTGTAAGCCATTTACATATTAGAAAGAAACATTTGAGAGTTTTGTATTCTTGAAAGCCTGTATATTCAAGTTGGCCAAATAAAAAAAAAACCTCTTCAAATTAAGAAAGGGTACCTTTTTCTATATTTGAGGCTAATTTATTTTCAGGCATATGAGAGATTAACCAAAACAATCAAAACAACTGTGATGGCAACAGGAGCAATCCTGATTAGCAATAAAAACCATTCATGTGCCCCTGAAGTTTGTAACTTTCACATACCTAACAAAGGCCATTACTGGAGAGGAACTCTGTTGCTTACCTTTTTGAGAGTTGTAATCCTGTTTGTGCCAGGGGTTGTACAATATTGGCAAACAAAAAGCTATCCTCGGCTGCATTATTTCCCAGAAGGTATCTACTATATACTCCCTGTGAGTAAATTAACACAGAGTGATTAAAATCCATTGAAAGCTATTCTTCAGCTTTCCAGGCAGTCTCTCCACATTCTCTCAGCTGTGTGGGTCACTAAACTCACTAGGTACTGTCAACTTGGAATTAGTCAGATTGTAACACAATCAAGAGAGGGTTTATTCAACAACAGGAATCATGATTCAGGTCTACAACCTAGGTGAAATCCTTGGCGTGTTCCTCCAGGGTCGGAGCACACGGTATTTTAAAGGATCAAGCAGGACAGTGGCCTATCTAAGTTGAGGTCCTATGTTTGAAACTGGACAGGAGTCTTCAGGCAGAACACTGGAGTGTGGGATCTTTAGTAACCATCAACAGAAGGTCCTCCTGGTCCTTTCCTACCCACCAAGAAGGAGAGAACAGGGTATGGGACACAGTCCTATCCTATCAGAATTATAACTGAAAATCAAAACAAACTTGAAAATGAGCTCAAAAGATACCAAATTGGCAAATTTGATCACCTCTAATTTGGAGGGAAATATAAAGAAACCAAAATAAGATCAGAAACTATAAAGGTTAAAGAGAAGCAAAGAGATGACCTTTAAGGATATCTTATCTCATCTTTTTTAACATCTAGGTAAAACTGTCTCCTTTAAATAATGTTGGTTGAACCGTCCTTCTTAATCCTCCCTGTTCTGTGCTGTCAACGGAACTACCTGCCTCTTCCCTGTTCCCAATCAACTGAATTTCATTTTTTTATCTCTTTATGCAATGAAACATTGTAATAGTCATTCCATCACTTTAAATTTCATATTTCTAGCTAGGATGAAATGTGTACGATCATCTCTAAGGCTACTATTAGACAAAATAATGTCAATCACTACCCACATCAAACACTTATTTGCAATGAAAATATATTTTAAATTCAAAGGCTACTTGGGATATGATTTGTAGAAACCACCACATTTAGAAACACATAAACCTCTCTTTGAGAAACCCATCCAATCAACACGATGATTAATTCTTAGAATACAGGATGAGATGTAACACAATCCTACCATGAAGACATTTCAATTGTTCATGCATAGCATACACTCTGAGGATAGGGGAAAACAACTATAGTTTTCTTAGTCCTTTTCCCATTCATTTTTGCTTTAAAAATCTCTTCCTCCAAGCCCTAATTCCTGGCCACTGATGAAATAACTCACTTTCTTAAGCTTCTCAGATTAAGTATGTGGACAGTAAATTAGTACAGTGAAGAAAAGATTTATCTAGATGAATGTGTAATTAGAAGAAATTTGGATGTACATTCAATTTCCTCTCAAAATTAATCACATAAATGTAACATTAATATAAAATGGAAGCTTTTTATCCACCTACCAAAACCATATATTAAGAGACATCTGTACCCTGAACACAGTATCAATCTTTGAAAAACACAAAGAAAATCTTTCTTCACCATCAACCCTGGCTAATAAATAGTTTTATAGTGTAAAATAGTCATCATTAAATTATTTTAGTTCTTCCTTATACTGGGTATTCAGGAAATCAACAATTCTCACATGCTTTCGCTTTTTGACATTGCAACTTTCACTCTTTCTTTCTCTACTTTGTAAGTATATTATTCCAAAAAGTGATAATATATTTTGCTCCTCAACTTTATCCTGTTTCAAATTCTTGTCTATGATTGATATTTTAAATATTTTATCCATGTCTGGCATTTGTCATTATGAAAAGAAAACGATCTAAGACTAAAGAATAAAATGCCCAAAGGTCAGAAAAAATTATCAACTACTTACATAAGGGTGACAAACACACTATAAACAATTTATTACCTGTGCTATTCCGGCCATTTTAAAGTAAGAAAGGGCAAGAAAAAAATTCCAGTTAGGAAGATTAGAATTAATTCCCCTGCAGCGGCAATAGATTGAAATCAGTTCTTCCATTGATGGTACCCCTATGAAAATAACACATAATACAAACTTCTAAAACATGTCATGGTGAATATTTCAAAATGCCAAAATATTGCATATGTAGATAAAACAGAATATAATAGCCTTTAATCCACCTAAGAAAACAGGTTCTGAATGTTGATTTTCAAAAACATTATATACTATGAATTGCATTTCTCATGAATTACTAAAAGTGAAATGTTACTTTTAGAAAAATTCACAAAGAATAAAATGATTGTAAAACATTTCAAGGGACAAAAACTATCTAAAATTGTACAATAGTCTTATTAATTATGAAGAGTATAGAGATCATTTTATTTTAATGGTAACTCAGAAACATACCTATGTTTTCTTGCAAATGAGAACTTTGATTCATCATTGGAAATGTTCTTGGCCAAAAGTAGAACATGGAAAAATGAGCCAAGTCTGACAAAGGATGACCAGTAGTTGAGAGTTCCCAATCTAATACTGCTATAACTCGAGACTGTAATGAAAAATAAAATGTCCTTAGATGAGTGGATCAAAAGAATGTGGTATATATACCCAATGAATTACTATGAGCAATAAAAAAGGACAAACTCGTGGGATTTGTGGCACCTTGGGTAAAGCTAGAAGGCCTTTATGCTTTAGCTAAGCAAAAGGAGAAAGATAAATACCCAACAGTGTCACTGAAATATGGAGTACAGAGAGTCAGGCAAAAACAAACTATGAAACCAACCCTTGAAAGCTGACCATAGAACTGAAGCATCCAGAGGGACAGCAAGAGGAAGGAGGGGCAGAGATGATAACAGGATGGGGAGAAAGAGCACAATAGACTATGATGGAGGATTATGGATACTTTGGTGGCAAAAGCACTACAGTAACAACACATGAAGAAGGGTGGACCCTATACTATCAAAACACTAACAGGGTTGGAAACTAATGGTCCTCCACTGATAAAAAGTTAATAAGTAAACAATTAAATAGTTTTCACATATAAATCCAGAAGATGGTGGTAAAGATGGAGCTCAGAGTCAAGATACTCAAAGACAAGATGGTGATGAAAGAATAAAAAGAGTCCAGAGACAAGATGGCACTCAACAACAACATGGAAGTCAAAGACAAGATAGTGGTAAATGACAAGATAGACCTCAGACACAAGATGGTGCTCAAGTATATATTTTAGAGATAAGATGTAGCTCAACTAAAAGACAGAGAACAAAGAAAAGATGGCTGTAAATGATAAGATGTAGATAAATGCAGAGATGGACCTCAGAGACAAGATGGAATGAAATAACACATGGAAGTCAAAGACAAGAGCGTGACCAATACAAGGTCCACTCAGAGACAAAACAGTTGTCAGAGACAAGATGTAGGTCAGAAACATGATGGAACTCAAAAGCAAGATGGTGTTCAAAGACAAGATGGTGGTCAGGGCTAAGAAGGAGGTCAAAGCCAAGATAGAGATAAACAACAAGATGGACCTCATAGATAAGGTGGTTGGAGACAAGATAGAACACAACAATAAAATGGAGAGCAAAGAGAACACAGAAGTGAATTACTTCAAGGGATCAAGTGAGGACAGATGGGGTATAGGAGGAGAAGCTCCATTGGAGGGCTCTGTACAGAGGAGGAGCATGATAGTGTATATGTTTTAAGGTCACTTTGGCTGCTGTGTTTTGAATAGACTCTAGAGGCCGCAGCAGTGAACTAGATTACAAAAGCCAGATCAAATAGTAGAGCTCATTTGGACAATGCAAGTTATGGGCCTTCATGTCTTCATATAACTTTATGTGTGCTGGCACTCTCTTGTTCCTCTGGCACATTAGTATACATTAGTGCAGCTTTGTGGGGGAAAATAATGGGATCTGGAGTCAGAAAGACCCATCATCAATTTCTAGCTCTACTATTTAGTGGCTATGTTACCTTGGACAAGTTAGCTAACCCCTCTGACCCTTCATTTTCTCAGCCATCATACACATACCAGTTGCATAGGGTTAGAGTGAAGATTAACTGAGGGCAGGTAGCATTTTATTAGTGCATATATGTGTTACCCTTTCAAACCAAAAGTTTCACATGCAATGCCACAGGACAAACAGCAGATCGGAGGCAGGGAAGGAAATAATAAATTTTTTTTAAAAAGATGAGGTCAGGAGTAAGTTTACTGCATACAATGTAGGCGTAAGATTTGCTAAATTTTCCATGTACGAAATAAAGTCCGGTAAATGATGTCACAGTGTTTATACATCTGTATATTAAAATCAAACTAGTTGCACGAGAGTAACAACTTTTCTTGGCAGTTGAGTGTTAAAAAAAATGTTGGCCCTCAATTGGTATGAAGGAGGTCCTGAATAGAGGCCAAAAAGCTTTCAACAACATTAAGAGAACTTCAAGGGGTACATAATAGCCAGACAGCAGATTACATCAGAAAGTGACCAAAAGGAGAAAAAGAGTCAAGTAGAAGGCAAGGTCGTATGCTCAGAGCAGAAGTCTAGATAAGACAAGCAACTTGAGAGTTTGAGAAGATTGGAAATAATTTTCTTTTAAAAAGGTCACGGAATTCACTGAGATGAAGCTACAGTCTAGATGCAATTATGCCCTATAAATATGCCCCAGACCCTGTTACCCACTCCAAATCAGGGCTGGAGATTATATAAAGGCAAGAGGTGAGAAGATTCTGGAATAATCCTAATCTAATCTCAGATTAGGAAATTTAATAACTCCTGTAGTTCCTGAACACATTCGCAGTCAAGAAATGATTCACTCAACTGATAATAATGCAGATAACTTTTGAAATGACTAGTTGTGTTCACATGGATCAAAACCTGACTTTACCACCAGAGTATTTTAGTCCAGTGCATTTCCCTCCCCCCATTGTTTTTGATCCCATTCCACGCTCCACCCCGACCACCAGAGTATTTTATAAAGAATATTTCTGTAAAAATAAATAGGTAAGGCCCTCCCTGGTGGCACAGCGGGTTAAAAGCACAGCACTGAGAAGCTAAAGCCACTTCCCTTGAGTTTGATCACGATCCCCACCTGCCCCGGAGGTGACCCCATGGCACAGCAGACCTCTCCTGACCCGCCCGCTGCTCCCCTCAGCAGTGTGCTTCATCGATCTGCCTGTTCTGCTCCCTGCTCTGTCTCTGGTGAATCCCCTCACCCTCTGCATCTCTGGCTTTTACCCCAGTTCTGTATGAATAAATAAATCTTTAATAATAATAATAATAATAATAATAATAATAAATAGGTTTAAAAAAAAAACCCGTATGTCTCTTGTAGCTCTAAAATTAAATGTTATAGTTGACACTTAGGAGGCCCGGTTTGGGGGGATGGGGGGAAAAGGAGTTAAACAAGAAAAGCTATTCAATACAAACTGTTTTTCATAGCAACTCATTTTTCTTCAAAAGTAAATATATGAAAGTCTACAAGGTAAGTGACTTCTGAAAGTCAGATAAAGAACTAGTGTACATATATCTGCTTCATTAAATGCAATCTTGCATACTAATTAATGAATGCAGGTGAACTAGCTATGGTTTTATCTTTTTCTTACTATGTATATTTGACTTTTAAGCTGAAATGGTGATTAGCCCATTAAATTTAAATTCTTAAAGTTCTCAAAAAATTTGGAGAAATTCCAAACTTCTCCATTAGTTGGATAAGACTTACATTAGGAAAATAAACAACACTTCTTGGGGAAACTGGATTTCCTTCAAACATTGCTGTATGTTGCCTACTGACACGCTAGTCCAAACACGCTGCAATACTTTGCATGAAAGTAACTGGAAAAAAGGCGATTGCAAAACGGACTGATGTGCTTATGTCTTGCCATACACTTTAGCAGCCCTTTGCTGGCTTTCCCCACACATTCCTGGACAGTTTATCACTGAAAATTGTTTTTTTACTAACCAAGTTCTTATTTGGGGGAGGAAAACAAGAATATCTGAAACCTTAAATGTTTTAGAAATGGGCAATCTCTCGAAGTCTCATAATTTCACCCCCTACAGCCACTGCTTAAGATTTAGCACGTATCATGAAAGCTTTACTTTTACATTCATATGGTTCTGAAGAACAGTTTGATAAGCCATCTCAAAAAGTAAAATAGAAAAGCTGAGGGGAAAAGAAAAGAGAACGGAAGTAAGCCGAGCATCAGCTGTGCCAGGTACCAGCTAGTTCTTCAATCAGGGTTCGTTCGTTTCCTTAGCAACCCTGAGGCGGAAAGAGTTACTTAGAGATGAACACTCATTCTTTCAACATAGATTATTCAGAAATATGTGACCACGAGCTACATAATGAATACATGACAGTCACTGCGTGAAAGAGCTCTGAGTCTATCCAGTAAGTCCTCACTTATTGAGCATATATTACACATTGAGGATAGACTTCAGGGGTAAAGGTCAGAAAAGAAACTTAAAGTCATAACCATCAAGGGAAAATATGGAAAATACACATATGTATTTAACTCACTAACATCCAGGGACTGATTTTCCAATTTATGGAGCGCCTTTATGAAAAAAGAATCGTCTAATTTCCTCTGTACTGATTAAATGGGGGTAGAAAAGATAAACTCTTAACTAAAATTAAATTCTTATTGCCGGTCCAAGTGGGTTTCTTTCCCCTGCGACGATGCGTGTAGCTCACCTTCCATGCTACATGTTGGCACTGGGCAATGGCTGGTCTCTGTGAGACCCTCTTCTGTCCACCCATATTCTGAGCTCTTGAGCTCAATGCCATGTTCCAGAGCACGTGGTTGGTCATGAATTGATGCTAATTGATTTGATTCTGCCAGCCACATGTTGCTTCCATTAAAAATTAGCTAAAACGGCCCTCCCTGGTGGCGCAGCGGGTTAAAGCACTGCACTGAGAAGCTAAAGCCACTTCAGCATGAGTTCGATCCCCTGCCCCGGAGGTGACCACATGGCGTGGCAGACCTCTCCTGACCCGCCCGCTGCTCCCCTCAGCAGTGTACTTCGTCGATCTGCCTGTTCTGCCCACTCTGTCTCTAGTGAAGCCTCTCGCCACCCCTGAGCCTCTGGCCTGTACCCCAGTTCTGTATGTACAAATAAATAAATCTTTAAAAAAAATTAGCTAAAATGATTATGGTGATGGCACATGGGTGACTTGGTGATGGGAAACCTGTGGGGATTACAATTGAGATGAAAAAAAAATGTACAAAATGATGTAAAAAATAAACGTATATAATAAAAAAAATAGCTAAAATACTTATAGGAGGCAGAGATGATTACATTTGAGTTAGCCAAAAATTATAAGGTTATTGCGGTCTAAAGCAGAAGACATTTTACTAGGTACCATATGATCCCAAGACAGTAAAAGGAAACAGTGAGTGTAACACATTACTGCTGCAGTGAAATAACAGAGCGATGCCTTCAGCAGTCTATTTTTTTTTTTTTTTTGTAAGTCTCTTCCCAACTATTGGATATTTGCTGACCTAAAAGAAAATGACATGTTTGGCTTTCAAATATGAGATTAAATATACAAAGGGAGTAATATTTGGTTTCAGTGCATTGTGACTAATCCTAAAATTTAAGTATCCCGGTAGTCACACATATTGCAGGAAATCTAGGTTGGAATTTCCTTGCTTAAGTATGAATGGGGAAGTACTATGGTTACCAAAGTAGACTCCTAAAATATTAATAAATCGAGTGGTGTAGACTAATTAGAACAGATTCTGCTGTATTAAGGTATAAGCTTTTATAATCTTTCCAGTTTACAAGTGACTATTCTTTAACTTTTCTCACCCTAGGCTATTTCACAGAATTTTGGGGGTACCATTAGCAAAAAGTTACACATACACCCATGTGATTATTCCAAGATCCAAACTGACTTTTCTATGAAAAAATGGTTGTCGTGCTGGTGAATGTGCTCACAGGTTTTTTATATTCAGTTTGGGTTATGTTATATTATTTTTTTATTATATTTTTATATTCAGTGTTTATATTTAGCCAATGCAGCACAGCTTTCAGCTATGACAGCAAGCAGTTCACGGTGGGGTTTCCACACGTCCTCTTCCTGTGTGGAAAAAGATCATGAAGCCAGGAGCTTAGCAGGTGAATGTGGAGTAGCTCTTCCTGTCCTAAGACGCCCAGTACTTGGAGAAAATGAAGGTACCCAGAACCCCCCTCTAAAAGGCAGGCTTCAGGAAACTGTCTTTTACAATGAAGTCAGAAAGTCTGGGCCATGCGGCCTGCCCGAGGCAGACAGGGAAGGGCTGGGAGCTGCAGCCCTCCCACCCGGCCTGCGTCCAGGGCCTCAGTGAGGGCGGTGGGGTCTGTACTCTAAGAGATTCCACTCTGTACATTTACACAGGCCAAGGTTACCCTCATCTCATACAATTCTTTTGAAACAGGCTCTTGTAATTCTGCCCCCGCTGGGCTTATCATGACCACGTTAGAACTCTGCAGGACACAGGGAAAAAAAATGAAAATGAGCCAGAAGCACATGGCTAACCTAGTATTTTTAGTAGGTGGAGAAATGTCACCATGCCCAGCATTCGCAAACCCCTTTAAAGCGTCAGTCGGCCCTAGGGGAGGCAGCTACCCGAGTCAGAGGTCAGCAGGATTCACTTCTCAGAGGTCCAGCAATGAAGCTAGTCCCCCCCGGAGCAAGTCTGGGGATGGGTGTGTTCCTTCAGTGAGCGAGGACTAACGGCTACTTGGTACCTGTGTCCCAGTCAGGCCTACTCAATTTTTTTGATTGTCAAGGTAACACTTGTTTACAACACTGTGTATATTTTCGGGGTATCATTTCACACCTCTTCAGTATATGTTACCACACTCTGCCCACCATCGAAGCATAATCTTCTGCCCATAATCACCTCTCCTCCTTTGCTCCACACTCCCATCTCCCCTTCTGTGCCTGGTAGCCTCAATTCTGCAGTCAGATTGCTAGTGCCTATTTTCATTTCTTTATATTCCAGATATGAATGAAAATACCCTGATGTTGTTTTTCTTCTTCTAGCATATTTCACTTAGCATAAGCCCCTCAAGTTCCATCCACATTGTCACCAATGGCAAGGTTTCATCGTTTTTTGTCATTGTACTCCTTTTTGTATCAAACCTGGCATACAATACCTCTGTAGGGTGAAAAACTATGTTATCTGGTTTGAAATCTCCATGAACCAAACACTCTTCATTGTCGTTCTCTGGCAAGTTTTTCATGAGCCAGTCAGAGAGCTGGGTCATGGCAGGGATGTCCTGATGAGCTGCAGCTTGGTACTGCTTCGTCCAGGTTGATACCTAAAGATATAAATAAGAAAAGTTATAGAGCTGAAAATGGGTTGTAAGATCCAGCAACTGTAAAATTAAAATGAGTCAATGATGTTAAATTTGGCTTTATTCCTAAGTGTTCATGACTTATGTTTGTGTTTATTAGCCTAAAACCTACATAGCAGCCGCAAAATGTAAACATTTAAGTTTCTCTTCCATCAGGTTTCATTTAACTTATCTAGATTTTTTTTTACCAGAAAAACAATTTGCCTAGGAGTAAAAAGTAGGTGGGTTCTAGTCTTTATCCATCAACTATTTTGCAGAAGAAAAATATGCATGCATGCATATGCATCACACAAATGAGCAGAAAAGAAAAATATCTGGGTCATAGGAACAAATAATCTCTGAAAAAAGAGAAAATGGGCACTAAGAAGAAAGGAGATTTTTCACTTTTCATTATGATAATCCTTATACTGCAAGAATCTTCTAAATATATTACAAGCATGAGGAGTACAAAGATTTGTAATCTTGGAATTGAAGACAACAAATCAACCTGTTCTCAAATTCCTCCATCAACTAAGATCATCTTACTTATAGCTTATAAGTCTCTTTCCCCACTCCCCAGAGTATCTCTGCTCAAGTAAAAATCTTCATCTCTGGAATCACAGGGATCTGGGTTTAAATGATGTCTAAGTTAGTTTTTTGTATATTACTTGTGCTTATAAACTTCAGTGTCCTCATCTACAAGATGGGGGTAATAGTACCTGTGTCTCATTTACAAAGATTATAAAAGAGTTGGTTCATAACTCATCTCACTTGTGGCTTGGCATGTAGCGAACACCCTAAAGCCTTCTCTTTCCCATCAGTGCACCCACAGTGACATACCCACAAAAGCTAATGGCCCCATGCATCGCTGGTCTTGCCGTTCCTTTGATTTGAAATGCTCACCATCTCATTCCTATCAGTCTAAATTTCATCCTTCCTTTAATACACAGTGCAAGACAGATCTCTTCCAAAGAGCTTTCCCACCTGAGCAAAGGTCTGTGGCCATCTGCCCTCTGGAGGGGAGAGATCTTGACCGAGTACCAGTTTACTACAGATTATGTGCCTGTTCATACCATCTTCAAGTCCCACGTACATAATATTCATGCACTGGTCTCTCAAAAATGAACCTTCTCTCCCAGAAGGTTCGTTTAGAGGGAGAACTTATGCATATATTCTTGATAGCTTACACATTACTTAGCCGATACACACAATCATGCTTAGTACATACCTGTCACCCTAACTTAAAAAGGGAAAAGTGTGTAGAGTATTTATTGGTAAATTCTGCGAAGAGGCTAAAATGGCTTTAAGTGTGCATTCATATACATGTATTGGTTATAAAGCTTCTGTTGAACAACACTTGATCAAAAAATTATTTTATGTGAAAAGCAAGTACGTTTGAAGCCCGCTACTGAGAGTCATAGCCAAGTGTGAGAGAGGTATGGAATAACAGGTTTTCTTTTAACTGGAGTTCTTTATGCAGCTGAGTTACCTGTCGTTTGCAGTAGCCAGCACCTCTGCCGTATCCTGGCAGCTGCAATGACTGTACATTCAGGGAATGTAACTGAGCCAAGGTTTCGATCATGGCCACATACATGGCTGAGCGTTCTGCAGGGCTGGCTCCGGGAATTGTGTAATCGCGGAAGATTCGGCCCTGTGGAAGCAATCACAACAGGTAACGTGAAACGAAATAGGTCTTTTCACACCGAGTCTTTGTGTCATCATCCCTGCCGCCCATCAAAAAAATATGGAGTAAGAGGCCCTCCCTGGTGGCGCAGCGGGTTAAAGCACAGCACTAAGAAGCTGAAGCCACTTCCGCATGAG